CCGGTCATCTATAGCTTGACCTCATCCCTGCACACAGGAAGCCTGTGGCATCAGGTTTGTCTGCTGACTGAGAGGGAAGGGAGGTGAATAGGCTTCCAAAGCCCAGACAAGCAAGAACAATAGCCATTCAGCTCCTTCCTGTGGCCTCTCTCTGTACCAGTGTTTGACAGGCGATGTGTCTTGATTTCCACACTCAGCCTAGAGCCCCATCTTGCAGATAGAGGAACGGAGGCTCGGGTTGTGGAAATGCCTTTCAGAGTTTACAGATTCAGATCTGCTTGACGCCATGGATGCATTGCCAGCCCTTGCTGTGAGACCTTGGGACAGTCTGTCTGAACTCAAGCTCTGTCCTTCCCCCCTTTCCTTGCTTCTTTCTCTCTCTTCCTTCTTTCTTCCCTCCCTCCTTTCCTTCTTCTCCCCTTTCCTTGACATACTCAGACAGGACAGCTCAGGCTGCCTTCAACTTATTGTGTAGCTGAGGATGATGACCTTGAACTTTGGATCTTTGTACCTCCACTCCTAGACATTGGGATTACGTGGATGAACTATCACATCCGGTTTACAGGGACCACATTCAGGGCTTCGTGCGTGCTGGAAAAGCCAGTCAACTGAGCTACATCCCCAAGCCTTCCATAAGCATTGCAATCGGCAACATTTCACAAAGGTTCTTAAAGGACATCAATGAAGCCATGCATGCTGGCACATACCAGTGATCTCAGCACTTGAGAAGTAGAGGCAGGAGGGTCAGGAGTTCAAGACCAGCCTGAGTCACATAATGAGTACAAGACCAGCCTGGGCTCTATAAGACACTGGAAAGAATTGATGTGTGTGACATCTAGTCCTATAGTGTGGATTCTGGAAGCAAATGTTTAATTATCCATATATTAAGAAGGTTGCAAATAATCTTAATTATCTAAATGGTGTCATGTAGCCCCAGTTGGCCTTGTGCTTTCTGTGTGGCTGGGGACTACCTTCAAGTTCTGATCCTCCTGCCCCTACACCCCAAGTGCTAGGATTATGGATGTACACACCACAGTTGCTTTATGCTTTGCTGGGAATCGAACCCTGAACTTTGAGCATGCCAGGCAAGCATTCTACCAGTTGAGCCACATCTCCATCCCTTTTCTTTTCTTTCTTCCTTTTTTTTGTTTTTTTTTTTTTTTCTCTTCCTCTTTGGTTTGTTTTGGTTTGGTTTTTTGGTTTTGTTTTTGTTTTCTAAATGAGAGTTTTGAATGCTACTGGGATAGAGTTGAGTTCAGTTCACCTCTGTGGGAAGACAGGAGAATAGCCTTGCAGTTGGAGCTTCCTGCCGTAAGGGGCTTACTCAAGGCAAAAGGCCTTTCAGAAGCAGAAGGGACGAAACACAGCTTCTTTGTCCACAGCTTTTTTTCCCTTTCTTTATCCCTGGAAAATACTTCTCATTTTTAAAATCCTTCTGCTTTGATTTGGGGTGCAGGGGAGGCCCAAAGGGACCTTGGGGTTAATTACAGAGCCCAGCCTGTGAACTGCTGGTCCCAGCAGCCTGCTGTGGTCACCCCTACAGAACTTCTCTGGCTGTGCAATGGGAGCAGAGGCTCCGTGTCTCTTTCCTTTTGGCTTTGCTGAGAACACAGAACAACGGGCTCTTTGCTGATTGATGCTCGCTCACCCAGATCCTCAAACACACCCAGATGGTGCAAAGAAAACGCAGCCTCAGGTTAGGCAATGGTAGCAGTGGGGCCATTTCCGTCAAAACCCACCTTGGTGCAAATGCCACTTGGGGACTCTGATTTCATACCAGGCTTCTTTGTCCCATGTGTGCCTGTTTGTGTGAGGGCAGTTTGTGTGTGTGTGTTCATGCATGGAGGTGGAGCTCAAGCTCATCCTTTTGAAATAGGGTTTCTCTACATAATCCAGACTGGTGTGAGTCCGGTGGAGTTAGTCTTGTTTTTTTGAGACAGGGTCTTGATATTCAAGCCAGGCTAGCTTTGAACTTACTATGTAGCTCCCAGCTCTGTCTCGCAAGGTTGAGGATTACAGGGATATACCACTACATCTGGCTTTGGACTTTTAAAATTTGCATAAAATATATTGTAGTAAAATTGTTATTTTAGGGGCTGGAGAGATGGCTCAGCACAGAATCAGAGTCCCATCCCCCGCACCTACATGGTGGCTCACAACTATGCAGAACTCCAGTTCCCGGCAATCCAATGCCACCTTCTGGCCTCCGGGGCACTGAATGCGTGTGGTGCACAGACATTCGGGGATGCAAACCACCCACCTATAAAATAATAAAAGGAAGAAACGTAAATTGTTAGTTTGAAAAATAGAACTCCTCTTGCAAAAAAAAAAAAGCAGCAAGGCTCAGCGGCTAAGAGCACTGGCTGCTCCTCTAGATGACCCAGATTGGATGCCTAGCACCCACAAGGTGGCTCACAACCGTCCCTAACTCCAGTGTCAGGGGAGCCGACCCTCTCTTCTGACCTCCCATCAGCACCAGGCATGCACATGGGGCACATAAATAAGTACAGGCAAAACACACATAATAAAATAAAATAAAAAAGCAGTTTGATAAGCTGTTTATGCTTGAATGTAAGCTAGTCTGGAAGACCCTTTCAGGAAACAGGTAAAGGTGTGTGTGGTGGTAAGGCAGGGGCTGTGAGCTTGGGAATCCATAGATAAAGCTGAGTTGACAGCGGCCACACAACAGAAAGGAGAGGGAGTCCGATGGGAAAGCAGGAATGTCTGCAGTGCGGGTATTGCCTGAATGCTTGAGAGCTTTCTCCCGCACCCCGACCCCATCCTCCTTAACAGTGAGTGTCCCTGAATCAGCCAGGCTGGCCTCAGACGTGTGATCCTCCTACTTCAGCATCCCACGTGCTGGGATTACAGGTGTGTGACAACTGATCCCCCTGCCTCCACCCTCATGGTGCTGGATTACCCATGTATACCACCATGCCTAGTTTATGAGGGGCTGGGGCTCAAACCTGGGGCTTTGTGCCTACTGGGCAAATATTTCACCAATTGGGCTATATCCCTGACCCCCAGTAGCTAATTTTTGAATTCTGCTTGGGAATGCCCTGGGATTAGGGTCATAGGGGAACTTCTGAGCCTACAAACTGAATGTTGCCACCCAAAGTGACGGAATCCAGTTCAGGGCCTGCAGGCTTTAGCACAGGGAGAGGAAATCAAAGAGGCTTTCAAGTGACTGTCGTTGGGGGCAGTCTCACAGCGACAGTCTGACCAAATTCAGGTTGGGTCACAGCATTTCCCAGAGCTCAATGGGGTCCTTGTTTGTGTTCTATAGTCTATTTATGTTCGTGCGAAGCATGAAATAGAATCGCATGCTGGCATCTCACTGTTTCATCTTTTGTGTGTGTGTGTGCGTGTGGAAGCCAAGAGAGGACCTGGCTTGGTCCCAGCTGTCTTCCTCTGTTGCTCTCCCCAGGATGTCCTGCTCTGTCCTCTAATGCTGGTGTTACTGGCATGTTTGCCCATGCTCGGCTCTCTCTCTCTCTCTCTCTCTCTCTCTGTGTGTGTGTGTGTGTGTGTGTGTGTGTGTTACTGAGGATTTGAGCTCAGCTCACCTTGTCTCACTTCATGCAGTTTTACTCAGTGAGGCATCAGGCTCTGTTACCTTTAGTCTTTGTCCTGTCATAAGACAGCCCATACGGGAAAGCCTGCAGAACAGAGCAGCTTCATGAAAATACCCGGGGGGCCAGTTGGGAGGTATAGGCTGGGGCTCCTATTTTACCACTTTCTGTTTACTATTTCTGAAGATTTTTCTTTTCTTGAGGCAAGGTCATACTGTGTAACCTGGCTGGTCTGGAACTCACAATGTAGACCGGCTGGCCTTGAATTTACAGATATCCGTCTGCCTCTGCCTCCTAAGTTCTGACATGAAAGGCATATAACACCACATCTGGCTATTTTTAACATTCTTTTCTATAGTTCTCTTTCCTTCTTTTAGTCTTTATTCTTCCTTCCTCTTTCTTCTCCTTCTTCATCCTTTCTCCCTCTCATTCTTTGTTTCTTTCTTTTCCTTTTGACGGGATCTCATATAAATCAGGCAGGTCTTGAACCCCTGATCCTCCTACCTCCGTGCTGGGATTTCAGGTGTGTGCCACCATATCTAGCTTTATGAAAGACAAATAGAAGTCAGCTAGGCCCACAGTGGAAACAAGATCTTACCACAGCGAAGAAAAAAACACACTTTGAAATGAATGTTCTGAGCAGATCTGCTCATGATTGCCCACACCTGGAGACAGCCCAAATGCCCATCAGCAGCAGAATGGATAAATGAGGTGCATTTATCAGCCATGAAAAGAAATGATCTTCAACATGCTTCCCGTGGTTGGACCTCGAAACCATTTGCTTTGTAACTCAAAGGCAGCACTGTATGACTCCGTTTACAGGAAGTTTCTAGAGAAGGTAAGTCCACAGAGAAAGTAGGTTAGGGGCCACCAGGTTAAGACTAGTTGGGAGTTAGGGCTTGATTGGGTGCATTACTAGGGTAATGAACGTTTCGAGGAAGTGTTGACGGTTGCCTAACCAGTGAACGGGGTTAAAATGCTACTGAATTCTAGGCTTAAAAAGGTTCGTTTGATTACATGTATTTTGATAATAATAAAAGACAGTTTAAAATGTATATAATAATGTGCTTGAGACAAGTCTAATAATACTATGAGAGTTAGGCAAGGGGTCCTGAGTTCTAGGATCCCACGAGGCCTCTCTAAGAACCATTAGGTAAAAGGAGATCCACCTAATTCTAGGTCCTGTGATGTTTAGTACAAGCGCCACCTGCTGTGGAGGAGTCCCAGGTGAGTGCCCTCGGGTACAGCTGGAGAAACAGGGGAAAGCCACGTAGCCATGAGCTCAGTGGTGAAGGTCATCTGTGTGAGCCCTGGACCTGCTGCCCTGGCCACCTGTGTTCCTAGTGCCTTCTTCTCAGGGACTGTGCCCTATTAAGGAAAGCTGAATGGGGGCGTTGCCCTCAATCTGGTAAACTCTTAAGTTGTTCCATTGTTGGGTCCAATTGACTAGCAGTGCAAGTGCCAGCGTGAGCGAGCGCTGGAGAATCAGCTCCTTCCAGATCCCTGCTCTCCCGCTGTCCGGTGTCTCACTGAGACCTGCTCCTCAGTGGCTGCCCACTGTCCACCGCTCCCCTCCAGCACCGCTGCCCATTTGAACTCTGTGCCTAACTCACAAGAGTGGTGGCTTCTGTCTGCTTCTGACTACAGGCCTCCCAGATGTGGCTGGCGCTTAGAGAACCACTGGTAAGTCAGTCACTCTGCCTCGATGGAGTGCTGAAGTCCCCAGCCCTGTGCCCTGTGTCCTCTCGTGGGTAGGCTGAAATCAGCCGGGGTTGTTTATGGCCCAGACTTCCATACACGCCGCAAACTAGAGCTTGTCCGTGCTGGATTTGGGGGTTCTCCCAGATTCTGGCAAGAGAACACAGCTCTGACATGCCAGGCAGGGCTTTGCCTCTTGCCCACAGTCCAAAGCTTCTTACAGTGATGTGGTTTGTACAGTCAGGCTACCTGGGAGGCATTTTGTACCTGTGAGGCATCCTCTCCCCAGCCTGGGGGGGATCTGGTCAAATCGCTGCCCCCGGATTTGGAATTCTTCAGTGGGAGGACTTGCCACGTCCTCTCTGCTCAAGACGCTGAGGTTCAAATGCAAGAGATGGGCCCTTCCCCCATACCTGGCATTTGGACAGTATCCAGGCACATCAAATACACGTCATGCAGGTTTTCCAAGTCTCCATGGCTAGCTTAGCTCAGCCACAGTGCCAGGTTTACCTTGAAAGGCAAGAGAAATGTTACAGGCAAGAAGAAAAGAGGAATCAGCTTGGCCTTACTGTGCTTAAGCAGTATTAATATTTTATGTGTATGTGTATCTATGTATAAATATTAAATATGCAATAGTAAACAGGTAGATAATATATACATATATTTACATGCTATTAACAGTTTTTGTCTTTCATAAGAATTTCTTAAGATTATGCTCTGAGTTTTCCAGCTTTTACTCCCAGTTTTGGGTTGAGTTGTCATCCTCTCTCCTATCCTATGTTGAAGTTCTAAACCCCTGGTAGCACAGAGGGGATCTGATTTTAAATAGGGTCATTATAGACACCATTTGTTTGGAACAAGGGCATGATGAAACAGGGCAAGCCCCTTACCAAATATGACGGGGTCCTATAAGCAGGGAAAATTTGGACACAAGCATGCCTGTGGGAAATATTGTAACCATGAAGACCCTGTCTGAAAGCCCAGGAAGAAGGGCTGGACATAGATTCCTCCTTCTCTGCTAGCAGCACTGGAACCTACTATGCTAGGGTGAGTCTTTGCTCACAGACTGCTAGCATCTGGAGTATGCTTCTGTCATTTTAAGTCACCTGGTCTGAGCTCTTTGAGAAGCCTACCAAACTAATACACTCCCAAAGAAAAAATAAGAGTTTCCTTCTGGTATCTTTCCATGATTTGCAGACAAGCAAAAATTGTTACGGCTCCCTAAGGCCTCAGAAACAGTTTTTGTGTATTGATACCTTTTAAAAATCACTTAGGTGGGACTGGAGAGATGGCTTAGAGGTTAAGAGCACTGGCTTCTCTTCTAGAGGTCCTGAGTTCAATTTCCAGTAACTACATGGTAGCTCACAACCATCTATAATGAGATCTGGTGCCCTCTGCTGGCGTGCAGGTGTACCTGGAGACAGAACATTGTATACATTATAAATAAATTTTTAAAAATCGCTTAGATGAGCTGGGCATGGTGGCTCATGTCTTCAATCCCAGCACTTAGAGGCAGAGGCAAGCAGAGCTTAAGGCCATCTGGTCTACGTAATGAGTTCTAGGACAGCCAGGCTGTGTAGAAACCCTGTTTCAAAACAAAACAAAAAACCCCACTGTATGGGGAAACTGAAATCCTTCTGTGCTACAGAAAACAGAAACATTTAGAAATTAATAAACGTTAAAGGATGGATGATATGGTAGCATACTCCTGGCATCCCAGCGCTTTGGGAGACTGAGGCACAGGCTGGTTCAAGAGTAGCCTGAGGTACATAAAGAGACCCCCATCTCGAAAAGCCAGAAAGAAAAAGAGAAATGCAAGGCACATCCAATGGCTGTCCTAATCGTTTCTACGGTTTTGTGCCCACTGCATAGCATTTCATTTCTGTCTAGGATTCTGTTGGATAGAAACTACATGCTTCTCTGACATCTTGACATCGTTTCTGTTTTTCTCTAAGTTTTAGTAGATTTTCTGATGCCGTAGGTGTTTTAGTTTTCGTTTGTGTTACTCTGAAGGAAGGGGCTCCAGCTTATCACAGGTTTCCATTTTATTTCGGTATTTTACTTGAATGAACAACCCACAACCAGCATAGCGACCCAGGGGCTGAGCCCCGCAGCCACACTTCGGGTCCTGTTACAGAAGAGCCCGCCAGGGGTCAGTACAGGCTCGGGTGTTGGCCTGAGTGTCCCACAATGCACCGGGCCGCAGGCAAGCCTGTGGTGCGCCTGTGCCGCAGAACCTGAACCGGTGGGGCGGGCATCCCCGATGGCGGGAGATGGGAGGAAAGAGGGCAGGCGTCTGGGCGGGGTCTAGTTGCATAGGGCGTGGTCTGGTGAGAGGGCGTGGTCCACTTTGCTATGTGGGACCTAGCCGTGGGGGCGGGGTCTAGGCTTCAGGGCGGGGCCCAGCTGATAAAGGTTGGTCTGGACCGAAGGGGCTTAGACTAGCTGTCGGGGGCGGGGCCGGGCCAAGGGTTCTGCCGTGAGTGGTGGTCGGCGGGTGTTGCAGACTTCGCTCCCGGCGTTGTAGCAAGGTAGGGACTCCGGGGGCTCGTCCTGGAGGGCCGGAAGTCCTGGAGAGGTGCGGGCGCCGCTGTGGGCTCTGTATAAACGCTTTGCCTGTATCCTCTGCATTGCATTCCCAAGGGCTCGGGACGCAGACTAGGGGCCGTCTGGAGTCCAGTGTGGTGTCTCGTGCAGCTCCATGCCGGCGTTCCTGTAGGAATGGGAATGCATGGGACTCTCGGACACCGGCGGCGGGTGGGAAGTTAGAATCGTGGATTCGAGAGCGCACATGTGGGCAGGGGTGAGTGGCAGCTGCCACCATCCCTCACTAGAGGCGCTTGTCCCTTGAGCTGAGCTGGTGGCGTCCTGGTATCCTGGCAGCCCTGGACAGCCCCTCTCCTTGATGCCACGCCCAGCTCCTCATTGCTCCGGACGCCTTAGTTCGCGAGTCTATCGTTAGAACTTTGCAAAAAGTAAGGTTGGGTTGTGTAGCGGCTTGGGCTTGAGGGTATCTGCCCCCTTAGCCTGTTTCTGCTTCTCTTGGAGTTCAGTCCTTTCCAGGTCTCAGTTCTTGTTACCCCCGATTCCTTGACAATGTCATAACCTGGAGGCTCAGATCGCAAAGCTGAGTGGCTCTGCCCACTTTTCGATGCCCTGCAAAGTTTCCTTCTCAGATCCCTGTCCCCCATCTAAAATAAATCATCTTTTAGTTTTTTTCTCATTTATTTTATGTGTGTGTGTGTGTGTGTGTGTGTGTGTGTGTGTGTGTTTTGCCTGCATGTATGTATATACACCACATGTGCGCCTGGAGGCCAGAAGAGGGAATCAGACATTTCTGCTACCAAGAAGGTTGAAGTCTGAAAATCATCTTTACTGTCTTCCAAATGTAAAATGCGAATAACGAATACACACCCTTTTTTGATTGCCAGACTTCTTGACTTGATAATCAAAATAAGAAAATTCTTTTAAAAAATTCTTCATTTGGTTTTTTGAGAAGGGTCTGTCTGTGTAGCCCTGGCTGTCCATGAACTCCCTATGGAGAGAGGGCTGGCCTCATACTCACAGAGATCCACCTGCCTCTGCCTCCCGAGTGCTGGGATTAAAGGTGTGTATGTCACCAGGTCCAGCCAAGGAAATTCTTTCAAACTGTTACTGAATTACCTCTACTCGGGGAAAGAAGCTGACAATTTGGCTTCTAAATCTTTAAAAAGCAGAAACGTATCTTAATGGTTATTCTGAATGACTTCATTACACGGGGACTAACCCAGCCTGTTTTGTAACAACAAAACTCCACCCTAGTCATTCATACCCAGATCCTGTTCAGTGGACATCCTGTCATGCTTGGATTGGAAACGCAAAGATAATTTAAACTTGAGGATGGATCAACCCAGACAGCATGGTACTACTGAGCGTATTTGCCATGACTATGGATGGCATGGCACTGTGGCTCTGCTCACGATGCCAGGGCTTTATGTCTAGTCTGTGCCCTTGTCTACTTTGTCAGTTGTCTGGGAAAGCTGGCACCTGAAATCAGTATTAAGGATGCCTGGAAAAGAGGAGGCAAAGCAGTAACAAAATCACAGAGGGGCGGGGGTGAGAACCCAGGAAGATGAGGAGTCAGGTAGATATTATAGTAAGTGATCCAAGCCAGTCTCACAGGATAAATAATGTATGACCCTACTTGAACAAGGTCCTTAGAGTAAATAGATTGATAGAGATAGAAGACAGAATGCTGGTTGCCAGGAGCTGTGGGAGAAGGAATACAGAGTGTCAAATGGATAAGGATTTGAGAAGATGACAACAGAGTGAACATACCAAATCCGTAGAGCTGCATACTGATATGTTAATCTTGCCGGTGTGGGAGGGGAATGGCTCAGTAGGTAAGCATGAAGATCTGGGTTCAAATCTCCAGTATCCACTGAAAAAGCTGTGTGTAGCTCCTTGTGTGCCTGTAATCCAGTGCTTGGTGATGTATGTGTGTGTGTGTGTGGGGGGGGTTATAAAGAGAGATGGGATTGCTGGAGCTTACTGGCCACCAACCTAGCTCTACGTTCAGTGAGAGACTATGCCTTGAGGAAGAGTGACAGAACAGGACACCCGGCATCCTCCTCTGACCTCATACTTAGAGCATTCTCCTCTAAGCATGGATTTACCACACGTGTACTCACACATGTGAACAAGTGCATGTATAACACATGTACACACATACGTACACACATACACACACGCTGTGTGTGTGTGTGTGTGTGTGTGTGTGTGTGTGTGTGTGTGTATAATCTCCTTTTCACTGTTTCCTATCAACATGAAGACTCTCCTCCCGCCAACCTCTGGTCACAAAGAAGCCCAAAAGTAGAGCCAAGTAGTCATGCATGCCTTGAATCCCAGCACTAGGAAGACAGAGTTAGGTGGATCTCTGAGTTCAAGGCTAGCCTGGTCTGCACAATGAGTTACAGGCCAGCCAAAGGCTGCTTAGTGAGATCCTA